TTATTATTGTGAATTCTACTAGAAAAGTTCCTGAGCCAGAAAAAGGTGAAATTAAAAACATTTTGCTAAGTGGAAAATAAATTAGCTTAATTTTTAAGTGAAGTTCCAAATAAAATTTGATTTGGTGTTCAACATTTAATTAAGTTAAAGTTATAAATCAAAGTCCACAAGGTGAAAAAAAAATTAAAATAATGATGAATTGCGCAATTCAAATCAAGGACAATTAAAACAGAAAAAAATCTTATGTGTTACCAAGAATTATGCTTTTGCACACTTTAAGTTGAAAAAGTCAATCATCATTTTCTAAACATCATATATATGTGAACTTATTTTATTAATTTACATAAAATTCAAAGGAAAAAAATTAAGTAACATCAAAATACCTTCAAAGATGAGAATCTAAGACAGAAATCATTGTTAATAAGAAGTAAATTCAGTTCGCGTGGCTTACAGAGCTCTTAAGACAAGCAAAGACTGAGAGACAGAAAAACTATGATTAAAAATATTCTTATCAATATTTCTTTCCATAAAAGAACATAAAAGTGTTCAAGAAGAGGTTTAGTGATAGGAAAAGACAAAACGTCGCGAAAAGTAATTTTGCTTACTCATTTGGGAAGAATTTTGCTTAGAGAGAATCTTCATGCTAACAGATCATCTGATTGGGATATTCTTGATATTTATTTTAAAATAGTTATGGAGAATCATGTGAATGGAAGCAACGAATCGGGAATATCAGTTTTGCCTTCCGAAGTTTACCGAAATGTTTTGAAAGAAATCATCAAAAAACAACTCAAATCATCAGCTGACAATTGTGAAATAATAATCGAAGCTGCATCGGCCAAGGGCGATAATTATGTTGGGATTTTGTATCGTGCAGAAGTGACGAACTCTTCAGGAAATAAAACAAAGATCATCATCAAGATTCCACCTCAAAATGCAGCACGCCGTGAACAATTCTCAGCAGGTCCAATATTTCTTCGTGAAATCTTGTTCTACAACGAATTATATCCTTTATTCAAGAAGTTCCAGGAAGATAAAGGAATTGATGTGAACAAAGAAGGTTTCTACCAGGTACCTGAATGTCTTCGAACAAGCAACGATGATCAACATGAAGCACTTTATCTGGAAGATTTGAAGGAATCAGGTTTCGATATGTTTGATCGATTCAAAGATGTGACACTCGATCATGTCAGTAGAGTCATGGAAAGTCTCGGAAAGTTTCATGCAATTTCGTTTGCAATAAAAGATCAACATCCTGAACTCATCGAGAAATACAAACCAATGAAAGAAATATTCAAGGAATTTGAAGAAGCTTCCAAAGGGAAGTGGGATGGATATTTTGCTGAAGTCGTAAGAAAGGCAATCGAAACGTTAGACGATCACCCTAACGAGAAGTTGAAAGATCATGTTAGAAATACATTAAACGATAAATTTATGGATATTTTTATGGATGATGTTGATGGTGCTTCTGCTGAACCTTACACTGTCATCTGTCATGGAGATTGTTGGAATAATAACATCATGTATCGATATGAGGTAATTTATTCTCTTACTACTTAAACGTATCTTCTCACTCTTTAACTTCCATTTAACTAGAATGGAGTCCCTGTAGAGGTTCGTTTGTTAGATT